AAATAAAATAAAATAAAATAAAAATAAATCTCAGGGAGAAAGTACAAACCAACCAAAGACTTCAGGGCAGGCTGAGCTGACTGAGAACAATCTGAATCTTCCATTCCCCATTCAATGTTGCTCAAGGACAAGAAAACACCCAGGCCCACAAAAGGGGGAAAAATGGAAGGAGAGAGCACTGTTCACCAGCTTGACTTCCTGATGGAAAGGGAGAATAGAAATCTAATAGATAAATTTCCTCCTCTTACTTGGGCTGGAGGTTCAGCCACTGTTTCAGCTCCACCAGAAAGAGCAGACAACTTAGTTCGAGTCTTCCCTGTGAGGGAGAGAGAATGTTAAAGTACAGAATTAACAAAATAGGAGGAGGCATTCTAGAAAAGAGAAGACATAGAGAAGATGAGAGAGCTGGGATCTCTCTGGGGAATGGGAGGGACTTCACTTACCTCCTGAGGTGTCCTCACTTGGATCTTCCTGAGAGATGCTCCTGAAAAACAGCTCCTGAGGGGGACTGGATGGATTCCTCCTTCCTTCAGGATCTCTGATGCCCACAGAGAAGGACTTGAAATAGGAGGCACGAGAAAAGAAGAAGAATTAACAGACATCACACAACATGAAGTGGATTCTAAACACAACTTTAAACCCCCCAGTGTCCAGAAGCGAGGCTCAAAAGTGAGAAAGGAACGGCTGTCCCAAATCTATCTTCTAGAATGGATAACGCAACAATGTCCCACAAGAATCAGTGAAACATCTCCACATATTACGAATGCCAGAAAACTCTCAATGGGAGCCGTTAAGAATTCAAGCAGATTGTTTATTCCCTTCAGACTCCTTCTGGGCTCCCAAAATGAAGGTCTCTCACCTGCAACGGGACCTGCTCCTTCTGCTCCTCCGCCTGGCTCAGGAGGAAGCCTTCCACCAGGGCCACCGCCTGCGAGCTGGTCTCTGCTCCACACTCCCGCACCCATCTCTCCATCTGCAGGGGCAGAAGGGCCAGGAATTGCTCCAGAACAACCAGGTCCAGCACCTGCGCCTTTGTGTGCTTTTCTGGTCTCAACCATCGACGACAAAAGGAGTCGGCTGCAAAGCCCTCGGGGACCCTCAGCCTCCTGGTATTGGATGCTCCTGAGGTTCTGGGGCTGAATGTCTGGCGGATGGTTTCG